TTTGTTAAAACAATTGATAAATTTTCCCCTAAAACAAAAACAGAATAATCTTTTTTAGTATGAAATTAATGAACTTGGTCTCTTGATTTGTAGACAGTGGCAAACTACAGTAGCATAATCAAAGTTGCATTCCTCATAACAGCTCAGGTAATAAGTGCATCAATTTTGGAGAATATAATAAAACCAGACTGAAGGTAAATGATTAAATATGTTCAAAGTGAAAGTAGAAAAGAAATTGGAAAATTCCTCTTTCAAAAGACACTGTTAGCTGTTGCATAATGGAAGATGCCGTCAACATGAAAGAACAGTCACTCGTGTGTGTGCTAGATACTTACAGGCAGATGAACACAGCTGTGGATAGCATGGATTAACTTCTGGCCCACACTGATGTCTTTTTGTTCTGTTTCTCAGTGAAACCCTATACTCTCAGGAGTTTATAATTTTTTTTCTAGTTATTTTGTAAATTAGAAATTTGTTGGGGGAGCAGTAGATAAAGAACACTAGCTGTGTGCAGAGAAGGATGGGTGTCACTAAATAAAGCAGATGACTTGGATGTCCAAACATAGACTGGATTGTTTACAGTGAACAGCTGGCAACGAAAATACTTATTCTGATCCTGAATCAGTCTGAAGGAAATGGACATTTTTAATAAGTTCATTTGCATCCAATGTAGGCATATGAATATTCCAGCTAGGAGAGAAAAAGAGCACACATGAATTTTTAAAATGAGGGATGATTTAAAATTTTTTCTTAATAATGGTAATGCTAGTAAAACTATTAGTATTTTTTAATGTCAGTATTTAGAAGGCCTGATAAAATACCAGAATATGTAATGAAGATCACATCATGATACTATAACTTTAAATGAGTTGATTGTTAAGAGTTGATACTTCCTTATAGTTTGACTTTCATTTTTCATTGAAGGAAAAAAAAACGATGACGTTATTGGACATCTTTACAAATAATATCTAAAATTGCTATAGATTACAACTTAAAAAAAATCCCTAAAGCTTAATGTAATCAAAACACAAAGTAGAAAACCAGTCTCCATTATTTCACAAGTAGAAACTGGCAATTTTTCTATTTTTGGGGGGGTGTGGTATACTCATTAACTTAGCATCTGATGGCACTTTTGAAAAGTAGTAGGATATGAGGATATCTCTCCATAATTTCTAGGCCCATGTTTGGGCCATTGCTGCCATTAATGATAACATATGTAAATTTGGAGTTTCACATTTAATGGAAATAAAGAGGAGGAAAAGAAATTGAAACTCAGAATATCTGACGTATGCCTCAAGCTATTTAGCATTG